CTTACTTATAATAAGATCGGATCTCACTTTGACATTGACAAGAATCTACAAAATATGATCATATTAGATTTTGACAGGAACGTTGTAATAAGTTGACAAGCAATGAAACGGTTCTAATGTACTATTTAAGATTATGACATGGATTGTGTAGTAAGCTGATGACTAATCAAAAATTGTCAATCCAGGTTTTAGTATATGTCATAAACTGATGACGTAATCAATCTATGTTATTTTTATAACGAGGAGATTATCATTTTATGCATATGGTTGACATATTCCTAAAACCCATGGCGATCGCTGTTCTTCATAAGGGGCTGACACGAGTCCCTTTCACTCGACCCTACAGGGATTCAAGGGTCCCCGTCTCGTCCCGGTCCTATCCCTAATAGGGATTAGCCCCTAAATTTAATACCTAACCCGTCGTTTCGTAAACAAATCGTATGATCAGTTAAGTCTATAGTATGAAACGAGTCGCCAATATTGAACAATACCAGATTTTTAACACGTTATACAAAATCTATCATTTCAATATAGCTAAGACGGGCCTTATAATAATACTTATGGCCATATGGAATTCATGTTTACATAACGTTTAATCGGTCTCTGCTTACCGATATAGAAGGAGAGAGATAGGAAGGGCACGGGAGGGGGCAGAGGGTGGGGAGTCCAGGATATGTCACCCACTTACAATTACTGTTCACGCGCGCACGCGACTGACACTGATTATCAAGTTTGATTTCTATTTAATCACATCCGATGAAGGTCTAATTAAATACAACTGTCACAAACTTTAAACTCATCTCAAAAGAAATCTCAAAATAAATGTTTGATAACATTAAATAATGTTTTAGACATGTTGGAAAATTTTGTTGTGATTGATAAAATTGAGGAATTAGGATGTAGGAAAGCATATGCTTCATTTATTAAAATAAAAATAAAACAACATGTTCAAAATACAAACGTATTGCATCAAGGATAATAGACTGTTCATTTTAGTCTCTAACGCGTTAGGTTTATATAAAGTATAAGAAGCTGAGAGTTTAAAGTATAGACATGTCAATTAGCTCATCTAGGGGCTGACGTTTTCGATCAACCATTTCAGACATACACGTCGACAAAATCTGCAATACATTTCTCTTTTTCAATGCATAATTTAAAATGAGTAATGTATTGCAGATTTTGTTAGGGTGGCGGGTTGACATAATGGATAATAGAACAAAATTCAAACTGTACCTTTATGGTTGCATTTCAATGGATAAAACAGAATTTCAAATATTTCTAAACAGGGTTATATAATGTTTCTAAACCTAAGCGAAATTGACATATTTGGTGTTAATATAGTAGGGAGACAATTATTGTTTAAAAAGCAAAATAGTTTGAATTTCAAAAATAGTTATTTTTCGGTATAGTGTTTCACAACCAAGTCATATTGATAAAACTTCATTTACATAAGAAAAAGAGGACAGAATCAAACACAGACGAATTATCATGTTTCACATTGATATATTTTTAATTACTGTATTTTTGACATTTTCTTCCTGCATTAATGTGACATATTCTATAAATACCGACCTTTTAACTTTATGTCCTGATGTGTAACACAACAATGATTTGTTACAGCTCTTTGTGTTGGAAGTATCGACGAAAGTTGCATAGTGAAGATCTGAACACCAGTTTCATAGATATTTTCCAGTGAACGTCAAGTGATCGAATATAGATTATGTAATATATGTAATTTAAGAGAAAATTCTGTTTAACTGTACACAACAACCAATTCTTAATAGTAGACGAAAATATGCGTCCAGATATTATTATGAAAGACAAAACACATTCAAATTTCATACATTATTCAATTATGTAACACAACATGAATTGATATAATTGGCTAAATTTATTACCGATATTAATGAGATAATTAATTTACAATACTAATGTCCATCCTGTTCCACCATGTATTATTGTCACCCATTTGTATGTAATAGATGTATTCTCTACACTGTATTGTTTATAAGAATAAAACTATTTTCATTGTCATTATCAATTGTCGGTTTATTGCGCAAGGATCTTTAACTTGAACTTATTAATTGTATGCAACCAATATGTATTAAATTCGTACAGCTCTTGGTGTTGAAAGTATTAAGTCGGTTGTACGGTGACGTATTTTATGCTAATTAATTACGAATGTGTGACAGAATAATAGATACGGACAGATGGAGTTAGTTTAGTTTGGACAATATCTTAATTCAGTTAAAGAAGATTTTTATAATTATGTACAAATATTCCGATTTTTATGAAAGTTATTAGCTTGTACAGTCAGATCTCTATAAAAACCCGTTTGTTTATATATGGTTGTATGTACAGTAAAACTCGTTTGTTTATATATGGTTGTACGTACAGTAAAACTTGTTTGTTTATATAGGGTTGTACGTACAGTAAAACTCGTTTGTTTATATATGGGTGTATGTACAGTAAAAACTCGTTTGTGTATATTGATAGGCTGTTTTGTGTATCGTCATCAACATCTGAATTTAAAAGATAATGAACTATTTCAATATCACTTCGAATAAAATATAACCTTAAAAAATAGCAGTATATATAATATAGTTGGAAAAGACACAATATTGGAATTATGTTACATTAAAATTTCAGTTTCAGAAACTTATTGATTGTTGTTCAAGTTCTTTATTACTTTAAGTCGGTTGACTTATCAGTTATAACATATATACAGAACAATATGATACAAAGACAACATACAATATGAAACACACACACACACACACACACACACACACACACACACTTTGTAAAGCATACATTTGAACTATATGAGCGCTTGGTGAACACAAATATGTATACTTTATGTACAGTAACAAGTCTTATAAGGTGTTGTCATTATAATGTATTCATTGATATGTTATATACATTGATATGTTATATACATTGATATGTTATATACATTGATATGTTATATACATTGATATGTTATATACATTGATATGTTATATACAGCGATAGTTATATACATTGATATGTTATATACATTGACATGTTATATACATTGATATGTTATATACATTGATATGTTATGTACATTGATATGTTATATACAGCGATAGTTATATACATTGATATGTTATATAAATTGACATGTTATATACATTGACATGTTATATACATTGACATGTTATATACATTGATATGTTATATACATTGATATGTTATATACATTGATATATTATATACATCGATATGTGCATTGACATGTAATATACATGTAGGATCCTACATGAGTTTCTATTTCATATGAGATATATGAAACGAGTCTAAGATTTGTTTCGTTTTTCAAAATTTCGAAAGAAATAATATCATAAGATAGAAGATCTATCCGTATCTTATTAGTAAGTATGCAATAATCAGAATAAAACACGCCATTTTCCATATCACACCCAGTATCAACCCTCGACGAATATCAGCCCTCGGGCTGATAGGGGAGTATCGGGTTGAAACTGGGTGTGATATAGAAAGACATGTATTATTCTCTATATATTCACTGGATAACACAGTACATTACGTGATAAATTGATATGTTATATACATTGATATGTTATATACATTGATATGTTATATACATTGATATGTACATTGACATGTTATATACATTGATATGTTATATTCATTTATATGTTGTATTTCCTCCAATTAAATTATTTTCTTTAAAACTTTAAGCAAAAAATTTCGGAGAACTTCAATCAATCTTTACAACCCTCTACGTACTCGACAGGTGCATAACATCGCGAAAGCACCAATAGACAAATGTTATTATTACATTAAAAATTGAGATATCAGCACAAGGAATAAGGGGTAGGGGGGTGGGGGTACAAGGGAAAACACAACAATATTATCATTTGATTTCTTCTTATATACATTAACATAAGTGCACGTGTAACTTATATATTATACCAATAGTTTATATACATTCCTATGATGTGTATTGGTGTGGATGTTACTTGTGCTTAAACAAATATTTCTAAATACATGTACATATAAACATGGCATTAAAAGTGTTTACCACAGAACAATGTTTACACCAGTCAAGTTTATATTTCGAAAGTGACAACACTATTTGGCGAATATCTGCTCAACTTGTCAGTAAGATCGGTACGTCGTTACTGACATCTTGACCACCACGTCTAGAGACGTATTCCGGGAACGTCAAGTTATCAATTATCAATCATCAGTTTAGTGCGTCAAAGTCCTTTACTTGAACTTGTTTATTTGATTGTTTATAACATCAAATCTATTTCCTTGAACAACTTTGTTTTAATCCAGTAGGCGTACCAGCTGATACAAAACAAGGTCAAATTGTTTTTCACGTATTTTTGTTTAAAATATTATTATCCTCTTTTTAATTTTGCCTTTTTTAAAAACATAACAAAATTCAATAATATTGTTGCATTTTATGTACAGAATAAGGATATACAATGAAAGGATATTTAATTATGTTGATTTAATTAACACAATTAGAAATTATTTTTATTCTATTATTATAGTTAATATACACACAGAATGATACATAAACATGATCTAATACCTAAATATCTAAACTACTTAAGGTAAGTACGATACTTAGCCTATGGTTGTATATGTTTTTATCAACTTGACAGTTTATTCAAAATATATAAACATATTTATAAATGACCCATTTATACAAGATAAAAGAAGACCTGCAAATTTTAACAGTACTACAGATTATATAAGTTTCTTAACATACCATACAGGTGATATGGATTAAGAGAAAAGACACCTTGTAAATATTTTTGAAATATAGAGCTTTTGGTAAAATCTTTTTAATACAACTTCTGTTTTTTTATGAATTCGAAACGATATCGGAAAGACCTCGATTATATTAAAGTTTGGTAATAGGTAAATATGGTTTTGGAAGTTATAAAGTACCATGAATTATTAAAGTCTAGATTTTATGTGATCTCTAGGTCAAATTTTATTCAGCCTTCCCACTCTGTAAATAAACACTTGATAATAAGCGGTGTCATCTGTCAATAATGTTATCGTCACAGGCAAGGCAACGCCCACTTTTAAGCTCCGCCCCTCAATTTTCAGCCGCGCCCATAGTTTTTCACAGCGGCCAATCATTGAGACGATATAACAGGAGGTGCGGCTTAATGAACTGATCAGACCAATCAGAGCCCTGCGATGGAACGGAATCGTAAATTGTTGCAGTAAACAGAGATTTGGGCGACCTACTGTGTAATAAATAGCTGTGTATGCATTCGTATAGACCAGCGTAGCCCAACCAACCTCTAAGCTATTCAACAACATTTGAAAACCAGCTGGGTTCACATTTAAGCGAAGCAGCTTTATCTTGGAAAGTTTAAAGAATCGTGCTGGTTTAGCAGCGGGGCCACAGCGTTGAAATAGTATTGTAGTATTTCTACAAGAGACGATCGACAACAGAAAAAAAAACCTCCATGTGCATCTCTGTATCGACAGCCGACTAGATGACAGACTAAGTGTGACTTTGGATATTCATTCTTTGTGACAACTTTTCTTTTCTGTGTTTGTGAGTTATCCTGGACACAATGTTGACCCAATACGTCGATACATCTCCCACTCATCATCTACCCCCGGGAGCCTTAAAGCTGAGCCCCCCTCACCACGGAGTCGAGAACAGCCTTCAACATCAGGTATCACAGCCCCCGGGATACGGGTTACCCCAGTCTCACGTCAACAGTTACGCTGCACGGGATTTTCTTCTGCGGAGACCAGACATTGGACTGTCCGAGTCCAGCACCGCAGGGCATCCGGGTATGTTTGTTCCGTCCTCTGGAAGTTTCCACTCCGCTCATCATCCGGATTCGGGTTCGAATCACGTACTGTTTCCAGGTCTCCATGATGCTGCGGCACATCACAACCCCGGTCACCATGTCAACAGCGGCATGCGTTTTGGGGCAACAGACATGTACTCACGTGCGGACCAGTTTAATCACATGACAGGACCACGCGCGGACCATTTTGGGACCACACAACCTTTCAACGTGAATCCCATGGGCGCCATGAACCACATGGGCCCTCACGGCCCCGGAGCATTCTTCAGGTATATGAGACCCCAAATCAAGCAAGAACACACATGCCTATGGCAAGATCCCGAGGGACCGGACCCGAAAAAGCCCTGCAACAAGATCTTCTGTACGATGCACGAGATTGTTACACACATCACCATCGACCACGTTGGGGGACCAGAACAATCAAACCACAGTTGTTTTTGGCAGGAGTGTGCACGTGAGGGCAAGCCCTTTAAGGCGAAGTACAAACTAGTAAACCATATCCGTGTCCACACTGGAGAGAAACCGTTTCCCTGTCCATTCCCGGGATGTGGTAAAGTGTTCGCCCGCAGTGAGAACCTCAAGATCCACAAGAGGACCCATACAGGTTAGTACCAGAGCCGTCAACAATTGTACACAATTATCAGTTTCACAACATCAAAAGTTGTTAATTAACATATTTAACTTGATAACAACACTATAACAATATTTGATAAAAGTTGAATCTTAGTATAAACATGCTTACTTGATGTTGTGAAACTGATGATCGCGTACAATTTCTACCTTTTAAAATCCGTTTCAGTTGTTATCTTTGTTTCCCTGGAGCTGTGTATGGTTATATAGATAGGTCGCCTCTAAATGTCACAGATTTTGTCGTAATGTTTCTATAAAAAAACCTGCAAAACATGTTATTGTTTACATGTAACCTATTCTGATAAACTGTCGGCGATATAAGTTCAGTTTTTATATATTTTTAATTATTTTATATCAAATTAAAAACATTTGTTATCGTTAACGTTACAGATAAAACGCGTGTTTACAGAGACTATAATTATCGATTAAAGTAACATGACAGTTGAAACAAACATTTTGGTAAGAGAATTATAATTATTGTAATATGTAGACGTTTCTCAAAATGAAAACATTGTTATCGTTCTTTGAATAAAAAAATTATTGTAATAATCCTTAGTGTAATTATTTTATAATAGCTAACTCTTATTATGCCTCTTGATTACAAATTAAAACAAATTATTTGTTACCGGGTTGTGTAAAAGAAAACTACAATATATAAACATTTAATATCATTATAGAGCATTAACAGACACTTTTCCTCGCCTGTGAATAATTTTAACATTTTATTTAGTGTTCAATGGTAGAGATTTTTTTTCAAAAGAGAAATACTTTTTACCAAGATGTATTGAAATATGGGATTTAAATTTCATTTCTCTATTGTGTGGACAAACTTTATATTCACGTGTCATCTTGAATTTTTACCTTACGGTAGTACTTGCGTTTACCTAGGCTTCCTGTAACAGGCAGTACAAACACAGCTAGACACATCTAACAATGTGGTTTCTACCTAGTAGTCTGAAAACACCCATATTCATACTCAGTTTAGACTTAAGATTAACAACATAATTGAAACATCTTTCATGAATTTGAAAACTCAAATGTTAAAATAAAAATATTTGGTGAATCGTGAAAGTTTCACTGTATACTGTAATACAGATGTTGATACTTAAACCTCATTAACATTCATGTTTTAATAACATTAAAGCAGGCCATTAAGTCTTTTAACGTTATGGCTATGGCAGAAATACAGGATAAATCAGGTAGCGGTTGCTATCTACTATATAATGAAAAGCATATGTAGAATTTTAAGAGGATATGTAATGTACCCAGAAAAGGAAAAAAAATATCTAGGTGACTTTTTTAATTAAATTTAATAATTACGTTTATTTATTGGTATTACGGAGTAGCTATTATATAGGTGCATACAATCTTGTTAAAAGAACTTAATAAATAACTAAAAAATATAAATTTGAATGTTGTTTTTCGTTTTGGATAGATAGTGATTTAGTACTCCATTAATTTCAAAAGCTACTGATGTTTTTCAAAACTTTGTTTGAAAAGAAAATGTAAAAACGAACTTTAAAACCTGGTTTATGTAAGGATATTCTAATTTCAATTCAATACTTTTATATATTGCTGAAAATTGTATATACATGTTTTTTCTCAATTATAGATTAAGAGGAATGTGTTGTATCTTTTAAATATAAATTAACTATTTGAAGTAGTAAATAGGTACTAGATGTCCACTGGAGAGTTATAGATATTGATTAATATTTACTATCCGTGAAATAAGACATTGCTGGGTTGAGTTAATTAAACTAGAGTGACACAGACCAGAACTAAATGTAGGATTTTATTAATTTAAAAATGAGTTAATGTAATAGAAATTGATGGGTGCATAATTTAAGATACAAAAAAATCACAAGTTCGCGGGAAGTCTATGGTAACTGATGTTTCATAACACTGCCAGAGGTTGTTGACAGATCACACAATTCTACTGTAACACACTTTTTAACCACTTGTTATGACGAGCAGTTATCTGGTCCTTATCACACTTGAAATCATTTACGGCAAGGTAACATTTGTAAAGCCGCAGCTTCCAAACGCAGCAGTCGAAAGGCAGGTCTAATCCCCGGGTTCTGTTATCGGGCGTTATGTTAACTGACCGGAAAAGTGTCGAGTTGTAAATTATTTATGTAGAGCCCCATACTGATAAACCCTACATACGACACAGTGTACATTACCTAGCTTTACATGGCGGAACTTAATTCTATTTATTCGATATCATAAGGATAATTTTGAAAACAAAAATATAAAAACAGAAGATTTGCATTTGCAGCGAAATGCAGGTCTCCATAAAAATGTAATTCAGTGTTATGTAAACTGCATTTTTTTGGCTGTAAATTAAATTATTTAAAACATCATATATAAAATTAATAGAACATCTTTACTTTTTCTCTCATGATTATCACCGTTATATGAGCGTAACTATTTAAGGGATCCCAAACCCAAATACAAATTGACTTCTTTTTTACGTCATTTTTAAAGAAAAAAAGAAATCGATTTATTGGTTCATTTTACTATTACATTTTAAAAGCTTATGTCTTATGTTTCGTTATTGTACATTCCAGGTGAGAAGCCATTCAAGTGCGAGTTTCTCGGATGTGACCGGAGATTCGCGAACAGTTCCGACCGGAAGAAACACAGTCACGTGCACACGAGTGATAAGCCCTACTTTTGTCGCGTGAGAGGATGTGACAAGAGCTACACGCACCCAAGTTCTCTTCGAAAACACCTCAAAGTACACGGGAAGTCGTCGCCACTTCCGGAAGAATTCGAAAGTGACCTCGAAGACACAAGCTTGGATAGTGCCGGAAGTGAGTTGGAAAACACCGTCCCGACAACAACAAAATTCATCAAATCCGAACAACGATCACCTGTTACCTCTCCCGAACTCTCCGACACTCGTTCTACCGGAAGTGTACATCAGCATCATCAAATGTCACCTGTAGTGTCTAGTCCGTCACTTCCGGTTTACCCGAACGCGAGCCTACCTCATTCTCATCACTCGTCGAGTTTCAGTGACTGGTATATTTGTCAGAACAGTGCAGCCCCCACTACGGACCATTTAAACATGAACTCATTCGGACATTTGCAATCGCTTCATCCACAGCCCCTTTTGCAGTACACGTGACATGTCACACGACTTTCATTTCCGGTTTGAACAAAAAAAAAGCATGACATTTTAACTTTGATACAAATGTGAACTACGTGCAAGTGATTGATATTACTAATATATTGTTGTTATGGCCTTGATGAAAAACTAGTGATTTCAATGGCGGTGTTGGTTGTGTGCTTTAAACAATTACAAATATTTCCAGGATTTGAAAGATTAATTTCCATATTTTCTCTAAATAAAAGGGCACCACGTGCCACTAGCCTGATGATACAATACTTGATGATATAATCTTAAATATTTCAATCGATCAAATATATGTAATAGGCAATCTTGGGATCTGAAATATCACATTTAGTTAATAAACACCAAAAATTTGTTTGAAGATATTTAATAACAAATAACTTTAAGATTTGAATTGATGTATCATAATGGTAAATGTTCTAAACGATACGACCTTGTCTGTTATTCTGTTAGTGTTAACGCCGCGAACATGTTGAATTAGTGCAATGTTGTTTTTATACATGTATGATGGTTTTTGCTCAACTATTTTATTTTGTTTTGATGTTTACTGTACAATGCCAGTGATCATATATTGAATCTCGTTAGATTAAACATATATGGATACTAATTTACATGTGCCCATATTGGGATATCAATTTATGACATATGCCCATATATGGATAATTATAACGTATTATCATATATGGATATCATTATGACATATGCTCATATATGGATATCATTATGACATATGCCCATATATGGATATCATTATGACATGCCCATATATGATTTTTTTATAACGACACATGCCTATGTATGTGTATTTATTATGACGTCTGCCCATATGAGGGTTCTTGCCTTTTAAAATGACTCCGATGGTTTAATACATACTATTTAAATATATTTTGTTTGTTTGTTATGTTTGATGTTTACTCTGTATTTCTCTGACACAAAATCAGCAAAACATAACCATTTTTGATATACGGAAGATGAACTAACACACACACAGGAGGTTGTACTAACACACACACAGGAGGTTGTAATAACACACACACAGGAGGTTGTAATAACACACACACAGGAGGGTGTACTAACACACACTCACAGGAGGTTGTAATAACACACACACAGGAGGTTGTACTTACACACACAGGAGGTTGTAATAACACACACACAGGAGGTTGTACTAACACACACACAGGAGGTTGCACCTTTTGATTTTGGTAATTGATACAGTATACCAAAATGAATTAAAACATCTGTTATAAAATTATACTGTATTAAAAATCAGTAAAACGGTTTATGACAGAAAACAAGCAGTTGTAGTTATGACGCCATGAACTCTTGTCTTCAAATTTACCTTTTTTTCTTAAGATCTAATGCTAAAAAGCAATACAATTTATTAAGCTTAAATCTATTTAAACGTCTTCCAAGATTTCTGACTTCTCGAAAATGTCAACCAGGTCATCGGTAATTGGTCAAACCTCTTCCATTGTCGGTTTCGATAGCAACTTTAATCATGTCATTCTTATTTGAGTAGTGGCTCACATTAAATCTTGTTGCAATAAACAAGCGGTAAGTTTGTGTATTTAAAGCAATGTTATAAACTTAACAATTTTGATCATGTAAAAAAAAGTTTTATATTGTATAGGTCTTCAAAAAGGAATTTAAAATGTTAGAAATTTGAATTCTAATTTAAAAATACATCGGAATAAATGAACAAATGCTATTCCAACCAGTTAAGGAAAAACGACGAGCGCGTATGCATCTTAAATATTTCCCGTAATATTTCCGGTTCTTTGACGATTTACTGGATTTACTCCCTTGAATGTCAGCCGATGATACAATACTAATACAATACGATACAAAACTCAGTAACTATATGGAATACGATAAAATACACAGTAACACATATTGTATCGTATACAATATGTAAAAATACATACTGAAAACGATAAAATGCATAATGATATTGAATACGATACAATACACAGTAATATTGAATACGATACAACACACAGTAATATTGAATACGATGCAATACAAAGTAATATTGAATACGATACAATACAAAGTAATATTGAATACGATACAATACAAAGTAATATTGAATACGATACAATATAAAGTAATATTGATTTCTATACAACACACAGAAATACCAAATACCGAATACGATACAAAACACATTAATTCTTGATCAGAAAAAATACCTAGTACTACATTTTTAATAAGATACAATACTAGTTAATACTGAAGACCACACAATGTACTGTAGTACGATGCAATACACAGTAATGTTGAATACGGTACCATACACACTTATATTGTATACGATACAATATACAGGTATATTGAATACGATACAATAAACTGGTGTATTGAATACGATACGATACACAGGTATATTGAATACGATACAATAGACTGGTATATTGAATACGATACAATAAACTGGTATATTGAATACGATACAATACACAGGTATATTTAATACATTACAACACACATTAATATTGAATACGATACAATACACAGTAATATTGAATACGATACAATACACAGGTGTATTGAATACGATACAATACACAGGTATATTTAATACATTACAACACACATTAATATTGAATACGATACAATACACAGTAATATTGAATACGATACAATACAAAGTAATATTAAATTCTATACAACACACAGAAATACTGATTACGATACAAAACACATTAATTTTTGATCAGATAAAATACATAATACTATATTTTTAACAAGATACAATACTAGTTAATACTGAAGACCATACAATGTACTGTAGTACGATGCAATACACAGTAATGTTAAATACGGTACCATACACACTAATATTGAATACGATACAATGTACAGGTATTTTGAATACGATACAATACACAGGTATATTGAATACGATAAATAGAGTGGTATATTGAATACGATACAATACACAGGTATGTTGAATACGATACAATACACAGGTATATTGAATACGATACAATACATAGTAATGTTGAATACGATGCCATACACACTTATATTGAATACAATACAAGGCACAGTAATATTGAATACGATACAATACACATGTACATTAAAGACGATACAACACACATGTTTATGGAATACAATACAATACACAGGTATATTGAAACAATACAATACACAGGTATATTGAATACGATACAATACAAGGTAATATTGTCATAAGAAGAATGAGGACATCTGTCGTTTTTATCAAAGCTAGAAGTTATATTGATTTTATTTGTAGTTAATTAACGTTTTTTTTGTGTGTACGTATCTATCGTATAGAGATAATAATAATTTAACAAGGGGAGGTAATCCAGTATTGTATTCTATGTATTCTATAGTGAGTAAGCAGTTATTCGGTATCATAGAGGTCTTAACCCTCAACTATTACTGAGGTGTATGCACATTTTATTCCTTTTAACTCATTCACCCTAGAAATTTCATAATGAACTATTCCAACCTTTGAATTGGAAGAGTTCAAAAGTGTCTTCAGGGGTGAATGAGTTCAGTAATGTGTTATATTTATCAAGATGCTCCTTATTTTGTTCACGCAAGTGGTTCACAATATGACGAGAACTGATATGACTTCTATCGATTTGACAACTAATTAATATATCTTGTACTCGGCGTACTTGTGTGTTTCATAAAGAAATTTAAACCGAGCTATTCTTACAGTGGCACTTTATTGACTTTTAAACCTACGTTCATTGGTATAGCCTAGACATTATTGACCCCAAACAATACACCCGTTAGAAATTAAGCGATAAAGAACTACTTTATGACCAAAGATTCTATTGACTTTCGCCGAGCCCACAATTCATAATTCACGGCGTATTTAAATAGAACTTGTTATTAAATTTCATTTTCTATTCTGTCTATTAAACGTACTACTCGCTCTGAGACAGTCGGTATGTTTACATACGAAAAACACAATGTTGAGTAGCAAGATGGGAAAATACAAGGGCATTTAAATTTTCAATTGAATTAAACTGTTAAGAAAACGGAAAACATGCTTAACCTATTAAACACAAATATTAGATGACGCGTTTTTCTTACACCCTCAAAGGTTGGGTCATAATCAGGTGGATGTCGGTGATTTGCGATATTTAATTTGGCTTACTATTTTTGGAGAGTACCAGGTTTATTTCCTCCTTATGACGTCATACGTAACGTACTTATGGTAACGTCTTTATGTTCTCTACCAAATGTAGTTTATTCCCCTTAAATATTTGCATATATTCCATCTTTTTAATGAAAAACGTGTACTTTCATACATATTTATAAAGTTATGGACTATTTTGACTGTAATATGTCGTTTTATGAACATCACAAGTGATATTGGCCGATAATGACCTCGGCTTCGTTTCGCTTACTATTTTTCATGTTTATATTATCATATATTCAGCTCAGCAAAAAGTTTGTGATAGATCAATATCAATATACACACACTCTTGACTGACTTCAGGGCCTTTGTGTTTTCCTTGCCCAAACGTACGTCATGTTACGTTTCGCGTTCAGCGTTGAGATTTGTACATGCTTTGCTGGCAAATGTCTATCTAGTGACACACTAATGCTTCAACATATCTACAATAAAATACGTTCGGCAAACCTCGGTTAATCTCGGTAAAACCCGGTGTATTGATTCGTTACGTTACTGGTCTTAGTCTCGTTCAACCAGACTCTTATTGTCTGCGCAAGATACAAATTACAAGTGATCAAGCGTCTGGTTGAACGAGGCTAGTATTACCTCTGCTCATCGTCTTGCTATGGATTTCATTTCTCCCACAGGCCATATTCACTCAGACGATAAAACAGATTTTCATAAGAGGACCGTAGTTGGTAACTTCCGTTATAATCTGACGAACAAGAACGGGTATTGTTGATGATTATAGTACTCAAGGATCCCCGTACAACTATCAAAAACTGTTACGAAGTGTTGGGAACTGTGATTTTGGGCATGACTAGAGCTTTGTTAAATCATTTCTGAAAAGAAAACCATACCTGTCGGGACTTTTACGAGAGGTAATAAAGACGAACTTAACAGCATATAATTAACAGTGTTTTGAGTGTAAAAAATGTCAGCGGGGATAGACCGGGATTCGAACCGAGGACTTCAGATTGCTATATCATCGCTCTAATCGATTGAGCTACATGTACCACAAAAGTTATATGCAAAAGGAAGAAAAGGGGAGGTTACTGTATGTAGGAAAAAACACAGTGCGGTGGGGGCAGGGATCCTTCAGTTTTATAGAGACTTGCCACACCCCACTCCTCCTACAGGAGAATTTTAATTTTGTAGACCATCATTTTATGAAGACCGATAAAACGATTTGTAGGAAAGTTGGATGGGGAATGTATAATACTCTTGATCAAACCGTCATCTTTTTTTAATAGGGGAAGGAGTACAATTATTGAAGTAGCTTTTCAATCCCACATATCATCTAATCAGCTATAGAAAGTATTGATTAATGTTGCTGCGTAAATTGATTATAACAAGTGCAGTAGTATCCATGAATACTGTTGCTATGGCGTCATGATTGTCTCATTCATAAAGTCATGATATTTTCTCGGAAATAAGCACAGAACATTATTTGTTACTTGAATAAAAATAATTATTTAAGATACCATGCTTTCCACAAAGGCCTGAATATACGGAGTCATAATTCACTTTTTGAAATATGATTAAAAGGGATTTTGGAAAATATCGGATGTGAGAATTTTAATTGTACCTCATCATGAATAATTTTAAAGTGTAGATGCAGGGCTATTTATTCCTTGCAAAATCTTTTAAACCAATATCACATATGATAAATATGTCATTGGAATTCACTAACTTTAATAAAAAAAAAAAACCACTTTTA